GCTTTTCTTTCTCTATACTTTGTCTCTGTGTCTTATTTCTTTTCTCAAGTCTCTCGTTCCACCTTACGAGAAACACCCACAGGTGTGGAGGGGCAGGCCACCCCTTCATTTTCTTCTCTTTTTCTTTTCCCTTTTCCATATAGGGGAACCCTTTTCTCTCTCTTTTTCTCTTTCCAACTTATGGACCCTTGGGGGACAGCACCTAAGCATGAAAGCAACTGTAAGTTTCTGGCCAGCGCCACTCTCTGGTGAAACGGAAAGATTTCCGTGTTGAAGAGCCTGACTGCCACCACCCAGTTCAGGTGAAGGACCTTAGTCCTTTTCCTTTTTCTCTTTTTCAGTCTTTCAGCTGCCTTTTCCTAGTAGTTCCTTGGTAACTGAGGGAGGCTGGCCAGGGTCACCCTCCAGTGTTGCCTGAAGGTCAAGGCGTATATGGGGATGGCTGCCATGCCCAGAAGGGGAAAAGACTCTTTCCTATCTTTTCCGGTTATAGTCCCTGATCCCCATCTGTGATGCAAGTGGCAGTGGCAGCTCATCCAGGGTGAACTCATGCATGTTTCCAGTGACTTAAACCCTCTTTTCTTATGCAAAATTCTCCTTAGAGTTAGCCTGAAAGGGCAAAAGATAATGTATCTCATGCATTTGACTTACCTTCTCTTACTCGATTTATTTGACTGCCTGAAGACCTTTGGGGTCCACAAGCTTCAGTAGACATTCTACATCTCAGACTTCCACTGAGGGGATCCCATAGCTTCATGGTCATTGCTTCAGCATCAATTTGCTTGCCCTGAACCCCATAGAAATTCTCAACCCTGGCCAGGTGCAGTGGCTCACCCCTGTAATCCCTGCAATTTGGGAGGCCAAGGCGGGTGGATCACCTGAGGTCAGGAGTTCGAGACCAGCCTGGCCAACATGGTGAAACCCCGTCTCTACTAAAAATACAAATAAAAATTAGCTGGGCGTGGTGGCACACTCCTGTAATCCCAGCTACTCAGGAGGCTGAGGCAGGAGAATTGCTTGAACCCGGGACGCTGAGGTTGCAGTGACTCAAGATCATGCCACTGCACTCCAGCCAGCCTGGGCAACAAGAGCAAAACTCCATCTCAAAAAAACAAAACAAGAAACTCTCAATCCCAGTCTTTTACATACCCCTGGATCTTTCCTTCATGGAGAATACCCCAGCAACCTTGGTACTATTAACTCTGCAATGTTTGGGAACCTCCTTAGTCCTGTGAGCAATGCAGGAAGATACATCACATTGAAATTGGTGGGATACTAAAAGTCTGGTATTACACCCAGAAACCAAAGGAAAGCTCACAGTAGACCATCGCCACTGGAGGGAAAACATATAAAGCAGCACTGGTGCCCACCTAAAGACAGAGATGTCTGACACTCTAAGATTAGAACCCAAAGAGAGATCCCCTGGGGGATCCAACTCCAGACCTCAACCTCTCCAAAGGGGACACCCTAGGCTGAGGTTCTGAGGAATAGTACTACACCCTCCTTAGGATTTTCTCTCTTACAGACAATAATAGGAAGCACTCCATCTATTCCATCTGACTCCCTGCTTGGCTGCATCCTTAACTGGAATAAATTTGACCTGGATAATCTAAGGAGGAAACACTTGATATTCTTGCAATACTGTTTGGCCCCAACATTGTTTGGAATCTGGTGTTTGCTGTTGAATGGGAAAGTGAGATGGAGTTGCATGTATCCAGGCGTTTGTGCGGCTGTGTTTTTTTTTTTTTTGAGACGGAGTCTCGCTCTGTTGCCCAGGCTGGAGTGCAGTGGCCGGATCTCAGCTCACTGCAAGCTCCGCCTCCCGGGCTTACACCATTCTCCTGCCTCAGCCTCCCGAGTAGCTGGGACTACAGGCGCCCGCCACCTCGCCCGGCTAGTTTATTTTTGTATTTTTTAGTAGAGACGGGGTTTCACCATGTTAGCCAGGATGGTCTCGATCTCCTGACCTCATGATCCACCTGTTTCGGCCTCCCAAAGTGCTGGGATTACAGGCTTGAGCCACCGTGCCCAGCTGGGTTCTATAGAATACGAAAATTAGCTGGGCGTGGTAGTACGTGCCTGTAGTCCCAGCTACTCGGGAGGCTGAGGCAGGAAAATCGCTTGAACCCGGGGGGCAGAAGTTGCATTGAGCTGAGATCACACCACTGTACTCTAGCCTGGTGACAGAGTGAGACTCTGTCTGAAAAAAAAGAAAAAAAAAAAAACATGCCTCAAGATAGGTTTATCGATTGTAACAGATGTACAATACAAATGCAAGCTGTTAACAGCAGGAGAAACTGCATGTGTGTGTGTAGGACAGCAGACATGGGAACTCTGTACTTTCTCCTCAACTTACCTACAAACCTAAAACTGCTCTAAAAAATAAAGTCTATTAGCCTGGGCAACATGGTGAAACCCTACCTCCATTAAAAATATAAAAATTAATGGCCGGGCACAGTGGCTCACGCCTGTAATCCCAGCACTTTGGGAGGCTGAGGTGGGTAGATCACCCAAGGTTGGGAGATCAAGACCAGCCTGACCTACATGGAGAAACCCCGTCTCTAATAAAAATACAAAATTAGGGCTGGGCACGGTGGCTCACACCTGTAATCCCAGCACTTTGGGAGGTCGAGGCGGGCAGATCACGAGGTCAGGAGATCGAGATCATCCTGGCTAACATGGTGAAACCCTGTCTCTACTAAAAGTACAAAAAATTAGCCGGGCGTGGTGGCAGGCGCCTGTAGTCCTAGGTACTCGGGAGGTTGAGGCAGGAAAATGCCATGAACCCGGGAGGCGGAGCTTGCAATAAGCCGAAATTGCGCCACTGCACTCCAGCCTGGGTGACAGGAGCGAGACTCCGTCTAAAAAAAAAACACGCAAAAACAACAACAACAACAAAAAACAAAATTAGCCAGGCATGGTGGTGCATGCCTGTAATCCCAGCTACTTGGGAGGCTGAGGCAGGAGAATCACTTGAACCTGGGAGGTGGAGGTTGTAGTGAGCCAAGATTGTGCCATTGCACTCCAGCCTGGGCAACAAAAGCGAAACTCTGTCTTAAAAAACAAAAACAAAAAAATTAGCCAGGTGTGGCGGTGTGCACCTGTAGTCCAAGCTACTAGGGAGGCTGATACATGAGAATTGCTTGAGCCAGGGAGGTGGGGGCTACAGTGAGCCAAGATAGTGCCACCGCACTTCAGCCTGGGCAACAGAGTGAAACCCTATCTCAAAAAATAATAATAAAATACATTAATTAAAAACAAAACAAATCAAGTAAAGAGGGCTAAATGGTTGGGATGATGAACTGTTCTGGAACTGATTATGGTGAGGGTTCCACACTCAGGGAAGACACTGGAAGCCATGAACTGCACACTTCGAATGGGTGAACTCCTTTGAATGGGGGAACTGCTGCAGAGAGCACCCAAGGAAGCTTCCTCTAAACAAGGCTCCCTCTTTGGCCCCTGGGGCCCTGCGGAGAGCTCTCTGTCCAAGTTTGTTAACTGTGAGTTGCTCACCACAAGGTCTGCTCTTACCTCGGGGGGCCACCTGCTCTGCCCTGCACAGGTCCTCTTCTTGCTCCAGCTGAGAGATCACATCAGATTTGGAAAGGAAAAGCCCTGGTCAAAGAGGGAAAAAGGACTTGCTCCTCTGCTTGGAAACCAAGAACCATGTCCTGGGTCCAAACTTCAGCCCCTGGTGCCATCCCGAGGAAACTCCCCACTGCTGGGACTACAAGTCCTGTTCCAGAGCTAGAGTGAGGGGCAACCCCTGGGACCTGCACCTGAAAGGGACCTGCTTCCAGTATCTTCCAGCCCATTCTGGAACACACTTCAGAACTTGGTACAGCTTTGAGTCCTGGGGGTAGAACCTCCTTCCATGGGCACAGCCCCTTACCCAGGGAGACAATATGCTCCCAGGTCTCCAGTGTCACCTCTCGGTACAGTGTCCTCTGGGCCAGGTCCAGTTGTTCCCACTCCTCCTGTGTGAATGCCATAGCCACGTCCTCGAAGCACACAGATGCCTGAAACAGAGCATTTGTTACTGCTCAGAGACCCCAGGTCCTCATGCCCTCATGGAGGTACCTCCTAAGGCCTAAATGTTCATGTCCCCCACTAAAATTCATACACTGGAACCTAATACCCAGTAAGATAGTGTTAAGAGGTGGGGTCTTTACAAGGCAATTAATGTCCTCATAAAAGAGGTTTGAGGGGCACCTGTGTTCACCTTCTACCATATGAGGACACATAAAAGGTGCCATCTATGAGACAGCAGGCCCCAACCAGACCAACTCTGTTGACACACTAATCTTGGACTTACCAGCTTCCAGAACTGTGAGCAGTAAATTCTGTTGTTTGTAAATTACTCATTCTAAGGTATCTTATTATAGCAACCCAAATGGTCTGGGACAGCTCCATGTATGTGGTCTGTACCATTCCTTTTCTGGGCATCTCACCTCTTGCCAGTCACAGCAGTGGTCCTGATTTCTGGACTGGAAATGACAGGAACTCCACTAGGAGATCCTCACCCACTGCCTCTCTACAAAATCACAGATTCGAAATGAGGTAAGAAAGACGCTCTAAATCAGGGGTGGAAAAACTACAGCCTGTAGGACAAATCAGGGCTGTGGTATGTTTTTAACAGGCTAATGCTATAGAATGAGCTGTTCCCCAAATTCACATGTTGAACCCTAACTCCCAAAGTGACTGTTTAAGAAGGTGATTGGCCAGGCACGGTGGCTCACTCCTATAATCCCAACACTTTGGGAGGCCGAGGCGGGCAGATCACGAGGTCAGGAGTTCGAGACCAGCCTGGCCAACCTGATGAAACCCAGTCTCTACTAAAAATACAAAAATTAGCCGGGCATGGTGGCACGTGATTGTAATCCCAGCTACTCAGGAGGCTGTGGCAGAAGAATCGCTTGAACCTGGGAGGCGGAGGTTGTAGTGAGCTGAGATCGTGCCATTTTACTCTAGCCTGGGTGACAGAGCGAGACTCCATCTCAAAACAAATAAACAAACAAACAAACAAAGAAGGTGATTAAGGTTAAATGTTTAAAAACTGTTTAAGAAGGTGATTGGGGGCCAGGCGTGGTGGTTCACACCTGTAATCCCAACACTTTGGGAGGCTGAGGTAGGTGGATCACTTGAGGTCAGGAGTTCGAAACCAGCCTGGCCAACATGGTGAAACCCCATCTCTACAAAAAATTAGCTGGGTGTGGTGGTGGGCACCTGTAATCCCAGCTACTTGGGAGGCTGAGGCAGGAGAATTGCTTGAACCCAGGAGGTGGAGTTGCAGCGAGCCGAGACTGCACCACTGCACTGCGGTCTGTGCAACAGAACAAGACTCCGTCTCAAAAAACAAACAAACAAACAAACAAACAAACAAAAAACAAAAGAAGGTGATTAAGATTAAGTGAGGTCGTAAGGGTGGGACCCTAATCCAATAGGACTGGAGTCCTTTTAAGAAAAGGAAGAGGCTGGGCATGGTGGCTCACGTCTGTGATCCAAGCACTTTGGGAGGCTGAGGCTGAAGCATCTCTTGAGTCCAGGAGTTTGAGACCAGCCTGAGCAACATGGCAAAACCCTGTCCTCACTAAATATATAATAAATTCGCCAAGCATGCTACTGCATGCCTGTAGTCCCAGCTATTGGAGAGGCTGAGGTGGGAGGATCGCTTGAGCCCAGGAGTTCAAGGCTGCTGTGAGCCAACATCGCACTGCTGCCCTCCAGCCTGGGCAATAGGAGATACTACATCAAAAAATAAAATAAGAAGAGGAAAAGACACCAGAGCGCATGCGTGCTCTCTTTCTCTCTCCTCACTACATAAGGACATAGTGGGACAATGGCTGTCTGCAAGCCAGGAAGAGAGGGCCCTCACCATTTACATGGGACCCTGTAGGTAGGTAACTATAGTACTTTAAGGGGACACTCCCCCAGCCAGGGGTGTCCATGAGGGTTGAGGGCCCAGTGTGGCTGTTGGCGTGTAGGGCTCAGCCTCATCCATCCTCAAGGGCCTGAGGAGCAACCACAAGCAAAATGTCGGAAGCACAGACCTGGCCTGGTGGAACAGGCATGGGAGACTTGTGCTGGGTCTAGTCCAGGGAGCTCTAGGCTCATCCATGCTGGTGACGGGTGCCGCACTTTACTGCAGGGAACTGGAGCGTTTCACTGGGAAGCACTGGCCAGCGCTGGAGCACTCCTGTGTGACAGCCTGCAGGGGCGGGTGCTATTCCTGGACCCGTTTTACATCTGTGGAGACCAAGGCACTGAGAGCAAAGACCCCCACTCACCTGGGGCGGAACCAGCTTAGAACGTGCTTCCATTTCCTCCCTGCACCTGAAGAGGCTGCTGTGTAGAGGGCAGAGGTCCTCAAGAGACCAGTCTGGAGTGGAAAACAAGCAGAGATTCAGCCCCTCGGCTCCCGCACACCTCCAGAGCCCACACCCACCCTAGAGAACGACGGGCTGGCCAGCGACAAGCGGGGCTTCCCAGGTGCAGGAATGGGCCTCACGCCTGGGTACAGACCTGGGCTACCTCAGGCTCAGGGGACGTGCCCAGTCACATGCTGAGTGTCTCAGCTGTGAGCCCAGACACGCAGCAGCCCCCTCAACAGTCAAGGGCAAGCAGGGGCATTTTTCCTATCATTTCATGACTAAGGAAGGGAGATGGAGGCCAGGTGTCTAAGTAATTGTGCATTTAGCATATCACAATGTATCATAAGCTGTTTTCAGAAATGATGACAATGGGGGCGTGGGGACAAGGAGGATGTGACACTCCCCAGCAGGGCGGCGCAGGGAACTTCCCTCGGCTGGGAGGGGGTGTTGTCCAGGGATGCCCTCCCTTGGTCTCAGCTGGAAGTGCCAGGATGCTGCCTACTGCCAGGGCACGCCTGCCACCCTCTCTCCTGAACTCAGTCACCAAACCCTTCCTATCTTCTGCTTGTCTAATCCCCTTGCAGCAGTCACATCACTGTCCTACTGAGAGTTTGGCAAAAACCCTCCTGAATGGCACCAAACCCTTCCACACCTCTGACTCCCATCACCACATCGGCACTGAAGCACACCCTCTGCAGGCTCCAACAGGTTACTCGAGACCACTGAACATTCCAGAAACGCATCCGGTATCTCTGCCTTTGCTCATATGACTACGCTCACTCGACCTGATGGTGCCTTTCGTTTGTACAATGCTTTCTAGTTCATGAAGAACCTTGAACTCTGACCCCAAAGGCCAGCGTGGTGGCTCATGCCAGGAATCCCAACACTTTGGAAGGCTGAAGCAGGCAGACTGCTTGAGTCCAAGAGCTTAAGACCAGCCTGGGCAACAAAATGAGACCTCCTCTCTATAAAAACATTAGCCAGGCCGGGCGCGGTGGCTCACACCTGTAATCCCAGCACTTTGGGAGGCCGAGGCAGGCGGATTACAAGGTCAGGAGATCGAGACCATCCTGGCGAACACGGTGAAACCCCGTTTCTACTAAAAATACAAAAAATTAGCCAGGCATGGTGGTGGGTGCCTGTAGTCCCAGCTACTTGGGAGGCTAAGGCAGGAGAATGGTGTGAACCCAGGAGGCAGAGGTTGCAGTGAGCCGAGATCACACCACTGCACTCTAGCCTGGGCAATAGAGCCAGACTTTGTCTCAAAAAAAAAAAAAAAAAACACGTTAGCCAGCCGGGCACAGTGGTTCACATCTGTAATCCCAGCACTTTGGGAGGCTGAGGTGGGCAGATACAAGGTCAGGAGTTAAAGGCCAGCCTGGCCAAGATGGTGAAACCCTATCTCTACTAAAAATACAAAAATTAGCTGGGCATGGTGGCCTATGCCTGTAATCCCATCTACTCGGAAGGCTGAGTTGTAGTGAGCCGAGATTGCGCCACTCCACTCCAGCCTGGGCGACAGAGTGAGACATTGTCTCAAAAAAAAAACAAAACAAAAACACAAAATGTTAGCTGGGCATGGTCTGCGATCCCAGCTACTGGTGGGGGTAGGGGCTGAGATGAGAGGATTGCATGAGGCCTAGAGGTCAAGGTTGCAGTGAGCTGAGATCACACCACTGGACTCCAGCCTGGGCAACAGAGCAAGACCCTGTCTCAAAAAAAAAAAAAAAAAAAAAAAGGCGAAACAACTCCCATTTGGGCTAGAAGAGCAGATAAAGGCAGCCATTGCAGATGCTGAACACTTATCATTCTTCCAGTTTGAATGCTGGCATTTTTCTTGCTCTATATTCTCAGAAAAAAAATTTCCCTGGAATATCAAATATCAAGCCATGCATTGCGGAAATCTCGCTTTCTCTGTGTCATATTTTTTTTTGGCAGTTTTCACCTTTCCTTTCAAAAGCTTGGGAAACTTCTTCCACCTGCAGATGTTGGGGTGCTGGTCCCTGCTCTGGCCAGGAACACAGAGCCGAAGCATGGGCCACCTCACAGGAGCCTCAACACTCGCAGCTGCTGGGACGTCACCCCAGTGATGTTCTCATTTCCCAAGCAATCTCTTCAGAGAACTCTCCTGCTCTCACACACTCCTGGTGCCTGAGGCCTCCTTTCCTATGCTGAATTCTGCAGGGATACTCTCCCCTCTAGGCATGACTTTGTGGCAAGTCCTAATCTCTCTTCCGAACAGATACATAACATTCTTCAGGCAAACCAAGCACTCAAGTCCTCCAAGAACAAGTGGAAAGACACAGCTAGAAGTGAACAGCAAATTCAGTGCTGAAACAAAAAACAAAGACAATGCAATGCAAAGAACTGCATGCGACCTCAGTGCCACGGGAGGACAGACAAGGCACCAACACACACAAAAGAAATGAAATGTAGGCGGGGCGCAGTGGCTCACGCCTGTAATCCCAGCACTTTCAGAGGCCGAGGCAGGCGGATCACGAAGTCAGGAGATCGAGACCATCCTAGCTAACATGGCGAAACCCCGTCTCTACTAAAAAATACAAAAAAATTAGCCGGCATGGTGGCGGGCGCCTGTAGTCCCAGGTACTCAGAAGGCTGAGGAAGGAGAATAGCATGAACCCGGGAGGTGGAGCTTGCAGTGAGCTGAGATTACGCCACAGCACTCCAGCCTGGGTGACAGAGTGAGACTCTGTCTCAAAAAAACGAAAAGAAAAGAAATGGAATGTGAATGATTAGAATTGCTATTAGATGACAAGTTTGGGGAGGAGGCATTCACACCCTACCAAAAAAGGTTTAAAATATAACATAAGCTATGACAAAATGTTCAACTTGCAAGACTTAGAATTGGTGTGAGTATGTACACATTTATCTGACTCCCAACATTAAACTTACTCAAAAGAACAAAGTGGGCCAGGCACAGTGGCTCACGCCTGTAATCCCAACACTTTGGGAGGCCAAGGCGGGAGCATCGTTTGAGCCCAGGAGTTCGAGAATCGCCTGGGCAACACAGGGAGACCCTATCTCTACAAATATATATACATATATATATTTTTTAATTGGCCGGGCATGGTGGTGCATGCGTGTGATCCCAGGTTCTCATGAGGCTGAGGCAGGATGATTGCTTGAGCCCCGGAGGTTGAGGTTGCAGTGAGTAGTGATCGTGCCACCACACTCCAGCCTCAGTTACAGAGTGGACCCTGTCTCAAACAACAAAAAGAAAGGAAAAGAGAAAGAGGAGAAGGAGAAAGAGAAGGAGAAAAAGAAAAAGACGACCCCTACCCCAAAAAGGTAAATGCTAAACCCATCATTCCCTGATGCTGAAATGGTCACACTGCCACATCACACACACATTACAGGGAGTGTGCAGGGCTGGTTTAGCAAGCCTGGGTCATCCACACCCTGCACTTTTCTTTTCTTTTTTTTTTTTTGAGAAGGAGTTTCACTCTGTCACCCAGGCTGGAGTGCGGTGGCACGATCTCAGCTCACTTCAACCTCCACCTCCCAGGTTCATGTGATTCTCCTGCCTCAGCTTCCTGAGTAGCTGGGATTACAGGCACGCATCACAATGCCCAGCTAATGTTTGTATTTTTTAAGTAGAGGTGGGGTTTCAGGATGTTGACCAGGCTGGTCTCAAACTCCTGACCTCAAGTGATCCACCCAGCTCGGCCTCCCAAAGTGCTGGGATTACAGGCGTGAGCCACCGCGCCTGGCCGACACCCTGCACATTCTTAAGAAAGGTCTGTGCTGTGCACGGTGGCTCATGCCTGTAATCCCAGCACTTTGGGAGGCCAAGGTGGGCAGATCACGAGGTCAGGAGATCGAGACCATCCTGGCTAACATGAGGAAACCCCATCTCTCCTAAAAACATAATTAGCCGGGCATGGTGGCGGGTGCCTGTAGTCTCAGCGACTCGGGAAGCTGAGGCAGGAGAATGGCATGAACCCAGGAGGCGGAGCTTGTAGTGAGCAGAGATCCAGTCACTGCACTCCAGCTTGGGCGACAGAGTGAGACTCTGTCTCAAAAAAGAAAAAGAAAGGTCTGATCCTTGACTGGCTGCTGGGGGGTAATCTCTGAGCCCTTGGGCTATCCTGCCTGATAAAATGTCTTTGCCTGCCAGGGGCACTGGGCCATGGTGTATTAGGGGGATCTCTGGAGGGCCTGCGTAGCCAAAGTAATTTATATGGGTTCCATGCCTACATAACAGATCCCTCAATGAAAAAAACCTAAGCACCAAGGCTTGGGTGAGCTTCCTGGTCCACATGGTCACTGGAGAATTAAGCACTGTCTACGCAACTTCACTGAGCACTGAATGAGCTGAACGCTGGTCCTGGTCTCTCCCGGACTCCAGCTTATATGCCTTTGCCCACTGTAATTTTTTTTTTTTTTTTAGACGGAGTCTTGCTCTGTCACCCAGGCTGGAGTGCAGTGGTGTGATCTTGGGTCCCTGCAACCTCAATCTCCTGGGTTCAAGCGATTCTCCTTTCTCAGCCTCCCAAGTGCGTGCCACCACACCTGGCTAGTTTTTGTATTTTTAGTAAAGACGGGGTTTCACCATGTTGGCCAGGCTGGTCTCAAACTCCTGACCTTGGGCGATCTGCCCACCCCGGCCTCCCAAAGTGTTGGGATTATAGGCGTGAGCCACTATGCCCAGCCTTGTAATTTTAATCTGTAGCCTTTCAATGTACTAAACTGTAACTGTGAATATAAGAGCTTTTCAGAGTTCTGTGAGTCCTTCTGGTCAACCTGTGAATGGTCTCAAGGACCCGTACACAGTGAACGCCAGGCTTACTTAATAAGAAACAGGCCTTCAGGAATTTCGAGAAAGGTGGGCCATTTCTTCACAGCAGTCGTCCTCAACTGGGGGCAGTTTTGCCTTCAGGGAACATTTGGCCACGTTTGAAGACAGTTTCGGGAGTTTGGTGGGAGTGGAGTGGGAAGGAGGTGCAGAAGGGGACAGCTACTGGCTGCCGTCTGGTGGGCAGAGGGTAGGAAGGTGTAAAACATTCTACAGCTCACGGGGCAGCCCTAGAGGATGATCTGGCCCCAAATGCTGACTGTGCTGAGCTGAGAAACTGCTTTACAGGGAGGAAGAACCTTGTGGGCAAGGCTGTGTCAGGCACAGGACTCTTCAGCCTGAGGCCAACCTCACACACCAGCAGATGTGAAAAAACCTGCAGCCGCAGAGCGCCCAGCCCTGTTTAGTTTCACCACCTTCTCTTCCTGAACACGAAGAAAAACTCAGAGGCCAGTCAGTCAGGACACAGTGACAGCAAATGCTGAACACTCTGCCTCCCCTGCACAAGGAGGAAAAACTCACCCTGACACCACCAAACCTGTGTCCTGTGTCCCCTCCCTGTTCTCCCTGTCCCTTTGCATGCTGATCAGGGCTTTGCAATTTTTTTTTTTTTTTAAACCGTGACTGTAGTGAGTTGAATGATGGCCACATCCTAATCCCTACAACCTGTGAATACGTGACCCTACATGGAAAGAAGAGACCCACATTGAAGATCTTTAGATGGGGAGACTGTTGGGGGTAAGCCTGGTGTCACCACAATGATCGCTACAGTGAGGGAGGTGGGAGGACCAGAGACAGAGGAGGAGAAGTGACAACAATGGGAGGCTTCTGAGCCAGAAACCCACACCCCCTCTGTACTGAGCACATCACAGACCCTCAGAGTTTAATGTTTGAGTATTTACGACTTTTCCAAATTTCACCCTCACATCAGCCCTATAATGGCCACTCTTGCTTTCACACATGCCTGCCTTTCTGCATGTGTATGTTTAGGTTAAATATTCAAAAGCAGAATTGCCAGGCAGCTCCCAGAATGCTGCACACAGGTACACATGCAAAGGGAAGAACTGCTCCTTGAGCTATCCTAACGCAATAAGAGAGGAAAAGCAGCAGTGTCACCATCAACAATGATGAACTCTGGGCTCGCTCCAAGTGCCAGGCTCCAGGCCAGGGATGTAAGTGGGACCCAGACCCAGCAAGGGCACAACCCCAGCCTGTGCGTGCGGCCTTTTCCCAGGTAGCAGGGAGGCCACATGAGCAAACAGGCAAGAATAATGAAGTGCAGTCAGCATTGGATTAATGAAAGACTATAGTGCTATGGCCACAGGATGAGGTTAAGGGAGGGGAGGCACTCCAATGCACAGGCAGAGGCTGAGGCAGACTGGAAACCTCACCCCAGAGATTGGGAAGACCCTGGCACATCCCATGACCTGAGCATAGAGAAAGGCAAGGGCCACAGCTAGAGAAAGTCCCATACAAGTTTAGAATTCTATCTCAGAGAGAGAGAAGGCATTGCTGGGCTTATGTAGATGTTGGCAGGCTGGAGAATATCCACTGCGGGGAGTAAAGGTGCAATAAGGAGAAGTGGCTATCACCAAAGGCCTGGACTCAAGGGACAGCAAAATGGAGAGAAGTGGGCAGATTCATTCTCTACATTGGAAGTATAATCAGTTATGCAATAGAATTGGGAGTGAAGGCTCAATAATGACATCTCTTTTTCTAGATTCAAGAACTTGGGGAAGTTTCTATCTTTTCCCAGAGTGAACAAGAAGGAGGGGTGGGAATCAAGACATGTTAAGGCTGGACACAATTTCCAAGTGGGAATGTTACACAGGCAGTTACGTTTGCCAGCCTGAAGCCCAGAGAAGAAATTGGGGCACCACAATAAAGATATTTAAGTCCACGAGACTCAGCAGCACTTAAACTAAACAGGAACAATCGAGTTACAGAGAGGGAAGAGGACCCAGGACCAAGGGAACTCAATGATTTACAGATCTAATAAAGGAGGGGCCTTGTGTACACAGAAGAAAATCTGGGCCTTTTAATTTTCTGTGGGCTGAATATATTACAGACAGAAGTGTGTAGAGAAATCTATAAAGTATCTACTTTGACACCATACTTAAAATAATTTATTATACTCTATTTTGTCTGCCTGATCAAATTCTAAGATAAGTGTTTTAGTTTCTCATATAGTCCTTCTCATATTTCCTTTAAGTACACAATTTTTGTTTTATATCTATGCTATGGTGTCTGGCCCATAAACATTCAAGATTAATGTATCTTCTTCCTATAGCCTTTTATCACTAAAGAGATGATAAGGCCAGGCCTTAATCCTGTAATCATGCCTGTAATCCCAGGACTTTTGGAGGCTGATGTGGTTTGGTTGTGTCCCCACCTAAATCTTTTTATATTGTAGCTCCCATAATTCCCACGTGTCATGTTATGGGAGGGACCCAGGTAACTGAGTCATGGGGGCAGGTCTTTTCCTTGCTGTTCTTGTGACAGTCTCACAAGATCTGATGCTTCTATAAAGAAGAGTTCCCCTGCACACACCCTCTTGCCTGCTGCCACGTAAGGTGTGACTTTGCTTCTCCTTTGCCTTCTGCCATGATTGTGAGACCTCCCCAGCTATGTGAAACTGTGAGTCAATTAAACCTCTTTCCTTTATAAATTACCCAGTCTTGGGTATGTCTTTTTTTTTTTTTTTTTGAGATGGAGTCTCGCTCTGTTGCTCAGGCTGGAGTGCAGTGACGCGATCTCAACTCACATCAAGCCTGCAAGCTCTGCCTCCTGGGTTCACACCATTCTCCTGCCTCAGCCTCCCAAGTAGCTGGGACTACAGGTGCCTGCCACCACGCCCGGCTAATTTTTTGTATTTTTTTTTTTTTAATAGAGACCGGGTTTCACCATATTAGCCAGGATGGTCTCAATCTCCTGACCTTGTGATCCACCCACCTCTGCCTCCCAAAGTGCTGGGATTACAGGCGTGAGCCACCGCGCCTGGCCTGGGTATGTCTTTATTAGCAGCATGAGAACAGACTATTACAGAGGTCAAAGCAGGAAGACTGCTTGAGCCTAGGAGTTGGAGACTAGCTTGGACAACAAAGTGAGACCAAATCTCTACAAAAAAATCAAAAAGTTAGCTGGGTGTAGTGGCATACACTTGTAGTCCCAACTACTGAGAAGGTTGAGGTGGGAGGCTCACTTGAGCTGGGAGTTCAAGGCTGCAGTGAGCTGTGATAGCATCACTGCACTCCAGCGTGAGTGACAGAGTGAGACCCTGTTTCAAAAAAAAAAAAAAAGAAAGAAAAAAAAAGATAAAAGTGTCCTAATGCTGTTGAACTAAAGGTCTACCTTATCTGATATTATCTTGCCACCCGTTTCCTTATTTGTTTTCACTGATGGATCTATTCTCATCCTACCACCTATTTGTCAAAGCCTGGATCATCTGACTCTTCTAAGTAGCACGTATCTTTAACTTTTTATTTTCAATTCAAAGTGTCTACTAAAACAAGAGTTCTACCTATCACATTTACTGTGAAAACTAGTCGTATTTCTGCCATTACATATTATGTTTTCTATTACTTTTCAAGTTCAAGACCAGCCTGGACAACATGGTGAAACCCTGTCTATACTAAAACAATAAAAAAATTAGCTGGGTGTGGTGGCGCACATCTGTGGTCCCAGTAACTTGGGAGGCTGAGGCACAAGAATCGCTTGAACCCATGAGGCGGAGGCTGCAGCGAGCTGAGGTCATGCCACAATTCCAGCCTGGGTGACAGAGCGAGATCTTGTCTCTAAAAAAAAAAAACAAAAAAAAAAACCAGGACTATTTTTTCAACTTGACAAAATATTTAAGCTTCTTTAATGAAAATAACGATCTATGAGAAAAAGAGGTGACAGTCACAAACAGTTCACAATAAAATAAACTGCACGGCTGAAAAATACAAAAAGCTGCTCTGTATTAAAGACATATAATCCCAGCACTTTGTGAGGCCAAGGCAGGAGGCTCTCCTGAGGTCAGAAGTTCGAGACAAGTCTGGGCAACATGTGAGACTCCGTCTATAAAAAAAAATAATAATGAAGACATGAATCAAAACATGCTGGGGCCTATGATCTCAGCCTCCTTCCCTAGAAAATGCCCCAGGCCTTCCTACCTTTCAGAATCCACTGACCATTCAGGCTGTACTTCCTACAGGACAGGCACTGTACCCTGTTCTCTGCCTGAATTCATACATTTGATCTTCCTTGTAACCCCACAAAGACAATTATCAGCATTTACCCTGTTTTCTGAAAGAGGAAACCAAGGCAGAAAGAACTTGAGTAAAACTTAACTGAGGCCTTGTGGCTGGGGAGTGAGAAGTGGGGAGCTCCATAGCTCATGACCCTAAGCACACTACCACTTAGGCTCCCAGCCTCCCCATCCGGTACACCCCAGCCCAGCCCAGCCCAGCCCAATGCCCCTGTTCTTTTTCTTAGCATCCTTGGCCTGAGGTCCATCTCCTGGCCTCTCTGACCTGTTTGTTCTATGTAATCTGCCCATGCCCTTGACTGCCCTCTCTGCCCAACCCTGCTAGTTTCTGAGTCCTGGGTGGTATAGGAGTTCAGGAACACCAGTATCCGCTCAGTCACCATCCCCTTACAGCTGCAAGCTCATGCTCTCACTCCCTACTTCAGCCCCCTTCCACCACTGTCCTCTCTTTGCAGACAAATCAGCCTTTTAATTCACTCCAAGGGATGACTCTGGACTCTTTCAACTTCCTGGCACACAAACTCCTGCAAGCCTGCACTCATTAATAGCTCCCTTCAAATTCCGAGGTCAGATGTCTTCTCTCTGGTCAAGATGAATCCATAGCCCAGTGCCCCACCTCCATGCCTCTTCTCCTCTCAGCTGAGGCCTGAACAGAGTGACCAACACTTTGTTTTCCCCTCCTTATCTTGCCCATCCCTGCTCTGCTCTCTCATTCCTGCACACACACACAAACACAAATGTAGACCACACCCAAGAGGTCTGCCCAATATCCTATGTGATACTATCCTGTCCTGATGCTCCTGGCCTTCCCTGGGGAATCTCTCACTGCCTGTGTCCATCTCTGCTCTCTAACCCTGTCCTTCCTTGTCTGGAGGCATCCAAGGGCAAGGGCTGAGAACACTCACTTTGCAACCTGCTTTCAAAGTACTGCCTCCATTACCTGCTGCTGTAGGACTCTGAACGGGCCTCTTTAACCTCTCCAGGCCTCAGTTTCCTCATCTGTAGACATCTGGAAAGACAGCAAGCCCTGCCTTGTGAGGATGCTGAAAGAACTGAGTTGCATTTACAGAGTTTAACATTGTGCTGGGCCGGGCGCGGTGGCTCAAGCCTGTAATCCCAGCACTTAGGGAGGCCGAGACGGGCGGATCACGAGGTCAGGAGATCGAGACCACCCTGGCTAACACGGTGAAACCCCGTCTCTACTAAAAAATACAAAAAACTAGCCGGGCGCGGTGGCGGGCGCCTGTAGTCCCAGCTACTCAGGAGGCTGAGGCAGGAGAATGGCGTGAACCCGGGAGGCGGAGCTTGCAGTGAGCTGAGATCCGGCCACTGCACTCCAGCCTGGGCGGCAGAGCCAGACTCCGTCTCAAAAAAAAAAAAAAAAAAAAATTGTGCTGACCTGCAAAAGGGGCACAACAGATGTATTCATAGTGATTATACTTGGACATAAAATTCTCCTTCTGTTCCTCATACTGGACCTGTGTGGGGGCTGAACTGGCAGAAGTCCCTCTGGCTGCAGGGCTAGGGAAGGAGTTGCTTTCTCTTTCCTTTTCCAGTTTTCTCCTTCCCTGCTTGTGGGGTGATGTTTCCAATCTGCTCCAGGTTACATGTCCAGCCCAAACGTCCTGGACTTCCTGCCGCTGCCATTCCCTCCTCCACATTCAGTCATGTCACCCACATGCTCCTCAACTCCCATGCAGAGACTGACCAGGAATTCCACAACTTGCTTGCACTGTGACTTCTATCCTGGCTCCACGCTGGAAACAGAAACACGGTCTTCCCCCACTCCTTCCTGTCTTTTGGCATCCCTCCTTAAACGGAGTCATTTCCACAATCAGATGTTTCCCTACTCCCTTAGACTCTGAAATCCAACCCCATGCCTTCCTCATTAGCACTGCCTTGTACGGTCCCCATCAAATATCACCCAACACAAATGCAACCCCGATCCCTCACTTACAGGCGTTACATACACATCGCATCCTGTTGACCTCTGTAGTCTCTCACTGGGGTGCACCAGCAGCGCTTAACCACTGCAGGCCCCCAACACCCGTTACCCCTGCCCTGCCAGGACTGGCCTTAATCTTCTCTTCACTTGAAAAATACACACGTTCTCTTCAAGGTTCAAGCTTCACGTACCATTGGAAGAAAATGTGTCCACGTCTGGAGCTGGGATGACCTCTGGGGTCCAATAGGCGCCACCTGGTGCCGCTGTACCAGGAGGCTCTGGGCTGCCACCTGTGGATAAGCCGCAGAAGATGAGCTGAGGGAGGAAAAAGGAGCCGGGAGAGGCCCACTGGGTCGGCAGCCCCAGAGCTCCATACTCCGGCCTGAATCTCCAGCCCCTGCAGCCCTCGACCCAGGCCCCCTCTGTCGGGAGGACCCACCCAGTCCTACCCCCTGCCCGGACCTGCGAGGGGGCCCGGCCCTATCAGTTCCCTCCCAGCTCTGCAGCAAGAGAGCCTCCCGACAAGCTCAGACCCAGCCGGGCGCTGCGGCAGGGGAAATCTGACTGGACTGGCCTTCCCTGTCCCTGAGGCCGGAGAGATCCCGATCCCATCAGGCCCCTGCCCTTGCCCGGCCTCGCCGCATGAGGGACTCCCGCAGGCCCTGCTCGTTTCTCCGGCACGCCCAGGTCACTTGGGGCGGCTCTGGCCTGGTCCTGCGCTCCGGCCGCACCCGGCTAACAGTGAAACCTCCGCGCCAACCTTGAGGGGGCCAGACTCACCTGCACGCACCGGGCAATGGCGCTGCTTCCGGTGGCCGGCGGACGTGCCCGCGCTCCGCGCAACGAACAACTCCCAGAATTCCGCGCCGCGGCCGTTGCTCTCTCAGGTATATTCATTGCGGTCGGGAGATTGGGGTCCCGCGGCGGCGAGACGAGCTTTTTCCTGTGTTCGCGACTAACATTGTGGCTTAGGGAGTTGCTTCCCGCGGCTCTGCTCCTTGGCGCGCCTGTGCCCTCCACCTTGAACGGGCCACGCTGGTTCTCATCCAGCAACCGAAGCCGAGACTGTGGCGGGACTAGCGCCTGATGGAGCTCGGCGCTGTCATCTCCTCAGGGGCCTTCCCGGCGCCTTGGCCTGCTGGGGTGAGAGACGAAGACTGCGCCATGAGAACGGTCCGAGGCCGTTAACCGGGAGCCCAGGGGCAAGGGCGCCCGCCACCGTCTGCGCCTGTGGCAGGGACTCGGGGACAGCCTGGGCGTGGGGTCGCGTCCTAGTGACAGAAACAAGCCCCGGGTGTGCCCACTTGGAGCATTCCGTGTGGAAGCTGGAAGCACGCTAACTGGAGGCGGCGATTCGTCCTAGGTGATTGCTCAGTCGAGCCTGTTTGGCTTTCTGTGGTAGCTCCTAAGTGGGACAGGGAAAAAAGTAGGGAGGCTGGCAGTTAGTGACCAAGTTCTGTTTCGTACCTATTGCTGCAGAAGTTGTGGGTCAGAGTTCCGTTATTATAAATGGTCTCATGTTCAGTCTCAGTGCGTTGTGAGCCTCAGTGTCTGAAACCCACCACCTGCTGACCCGTCCTGGCTCTTCAATGAGGGAGACCACAGGAAACTTTCCTACGAATGCCAGATAGGCGGGAACCACTGTGGCTCAGGCATCCTCAGCTCCTGCACTGTGTTTTTGTGTCTGGGGTGCATCTGTGACTAACCTTCCTTGGCTTGACTGTCTTGTGCCTGACCTTGTCAATAGCTTTACCCAACAGTCGTCACCTTTTTACTTGCTTGTTTTCATACCTGGCTAGCACGACCCCGCAATTTTTAGATTCTTCCAGGAAATCTAGAATCTGACTCCCTAAGGGGGGATCTTGATGGATTCTAAGCTAATCGGAATGGACTCAAGCCTCTTGCTGTGTGAATTAGGCAAGGGTATTCTGGCCAAGGAGAAATAAGGCTGCTAGGGGTTTCCTGGGAAGGTTCCCTCAGTCTTTTTTTTTTTTTGTGAGACGGAGTCTCCCTCTGTCCCCCAGGCTGGAGTGCAGTGGTGCGATCTCAGCTCACTGCAGGCTCTGCCTCCCGGGTTCACACCTTTCTCCTGCCTCAGCCTCCTGAGTAGCTGGGACTACAGGCGCCCGCCACCACGCCCGGTTAATTTTTTGTATTTTTAGTAGAGACGGGGTTTCATCCCGTTAGCCAGGATGATCTCGATCTCCTGACCTTGTGATCCACTGAGGCAGGAGAATGGCATGAACCTGGGAGGCGGAGCTTGCAGTGAGCTGAGATCACACCACTGCATTCCAGCCCAGGCTACAAAGCGAGA